GAAAGGGGTATGAAAGTGAACGCAAGTAAGACGAAAGTGATGGTTTTTGAAAGAGAAGAAAGTAAAACTTTATGTGAAATAAGAATAGAAGGGGAGTTGATTGAGCAAGTGGATGAGTTTGTATATTTGGGATGTTTATTTAGCAGGGATGGTAGATATGATAAGGATATAGAACGACGAGTGAACGCAGGAAATAGAGTGAATGGGGCTCTACACGCTATTATGAGGAGTCAGAATGTGTCAACTAAGGCACGTATGGCAATTCACAATGCTGTGTTAGTCCCTACTTTAATGTATGGTAGTGAAAGTTGGGTCTGGCAGAAGAAGCATGAGAGTAGAATAAATGCTGTAGAAATGCGTTCCTTAAGGAGTATGCTAGGGCTGAATCTGAATGACAGGGTGAGAAATAGTGTGATAAGAGAAAAGTGTGGTTTGCAAGATGACGTTGTGACAAGGATTAAGAAAGGAATGCTTCGGTGGTTTGGTCATGTAGAAAGAATGAACGAGGAAAGAGTGACAAAGCAAATTTATGTTGCGGAAGTGAACGGCAGGGTCGGGAAGGGACGCCCTAGACGAAGGTTTATCGACCATATCGGCGATACATTAAAAATGGGCCAGATTAGGAGTACCCTTAAACGACGAGCGTGTATGCGTAGATATATGGATGTAAAAGAGGCGAGAGAGGTGTGTCAGGATCGCTCCAAATGGAAGTCCGTAGTCTCTGCCTACCCCTCTGGGTGACAGGCGTTAGTGTTTATGTAATATATTATGTAAGATCGTTTTAGGAATGTTACCCTTTCGATACCAAAGTATCGATAATGTTGTTGAAAGTTACTAAGTTTGAAATGTTTATAATATAATAATAGGGAATAAAATGATGGTTCCATTAAAACTTCCATCACAAGAAAAAAATCACTTTAACTTTTTATGCCTCTTTAGTGACATGAAATAAATTATTAATTTCCAATAACTAAGAATCAATTCAAACGACAGACACTTTGGTTGCCGCCTTGGAGGCACCTTGGATGACGTCACTCGGTCCATTAGAAGCTATAATAATAACATATGATTGGTCGATCGGCGTTGAAGACACATTAAGAAACACCAAATTCAATAAGGGAGCGCCTCTATGTTTTTAAATTCGTTTCTTTTACAAAAATACACTTCAAATCTAAAATATTTAGGAAAACACTGAACTTAAAAGCCGTTTCACGATAAATCATTTTATAAATTTATATTCATACATTCATATTATAAATACGCTGGTATATTATGTACCAATATTCTTCAAAGAGATTTATGCTCAACAACTTGAGACATTACTGACTCGGTGAAAGAAAGCATAGTGAGGAATACTGAACATTATAATCTGAAATCACGATCATGCACTAAGCAAGTGTTGTGATTAATGCTCGTTACTTCCCTGTATGTGAAGACTACTTTGCGCTGTAGCCTAATACAGGCCAGTATTATTATAAGAAATGAAACTATTCCAGTACTTTCAACGGTATTTATTTAGAAAAATTTTTAAATTGTTGTAAATCGAACTCATAACTAATACTCATAACAACTTGTATCATTTTAATTTATTTATTTAATTCTCACTGTGCACCATTGCGATATTATGTACTAACGTACTAGAGAGGCCTTGCGGTACATCATACCCGGTACGGTGTACGGTTGGATACTCACTGATGAGTCAACACCCGTCACGAAGAGTCGTGTTTTTATCTTTCGTTAATCGTTTCACTATTTCATTTCATTACTAAGCGCAGATTTTTTGATGATTTTATACTGAGCTTTTATATCTTTAAGTAATTATAGTGAAAAATAACTTGTTACAATGTAATAACAGTGAAAAATCACCTGTTACAGTGTAGGTAATAGATAATCTCTATTTTACTTATTCTACATTAACTCAGCTTCTAGATTGACAAATCTTTTCAGCTATTAATAGTTTATATATACGCTTTCAAATGGTACTTTCATCTTGTTAACACTTGGGCCCAAGAATGTATGGAGACGTCTTCTTTTCCTTTTATATTATTTTGTCAATTTCATCAGCTGCAATACTTAAAAGACACTACCCACATCAATAAAAATTGTTATTTTAAGTTTTTCCTTAAACTAGATTAAGCCTGAGTTAGGAAACCTTATTTCCTAACTCAGGCTTAATCTACAACTTCTTGAATCTAATATCTTTAACAGTACAATTTTTTTTAATGTCACAAGCCTATAACACTCTCCTATCACTGTAAGCCAGGATCAATAATGGTTTTGTCCTTGAATACCACCAGACAATGAAGCCCGGTATGTAAAAGAGAAGACTTCCTGTATTGCTAAACATCAGCACAGCAAGTATCCTCAGAATGTTCATAAGCAACACAGGAAATCTCATCATCATGCCTAAAAAAGTTTTCCCACCCTTCCACATAAAGTAGGCTACTTAGCATAGTTGATATATGCTACTCATTTTTGTTGGTATGGGTACAGTATTTTTGACTGTTTTACCTCCTTAAATATTGTAAATGATTAAATCGGCATCCTGTATATTATTTTTATCGATAACCCCAATCGATAAACGTCATCAATCACTAACTTTAAATAAATAGTGACGCTACAGGATAACAGAGGGCGCTTAGTACAATAAAAATAATTTTTCTAGAACAACCTACTAGAAATAATAAAATTTAAAGATTATTCGGTAAATATACGTTATACTTACGATAACAAACCAAAATCACGTTCATTTTTTGCTCCATATCGTGACTTACAATATCTTAATGCACAACCGGGCATATTTTCTATAAAAATATTTTTTAAAGAATATGAAAAGAATGCGTCTTGACTTTATGACGATGTCACTAAGACTAACGGAGATATATCCTGTAGGACATAAGTTACAGACGACAATTTTGCTGCTGATGTCCTGTCTATTACTACTACTACTTAAATGTCTTTGGGTATTACTGTATAAGGTACGTAAGGTGTGTAAGGTACGAACTGTCGTCTCATGCCGTGTGTGGATATATCTGGGATTTTATGTGCCTAATATTAAAATCTGTCGATTAGCTATAGCTGTTACTTCTAATAAGGAAAAAATATGGTTAATTACGATACGTAGACTTTACTTTTTTAGTTCAGTTAAAGTGTTTGATTATTAAAAATGTATCTCATTTTTAATAATCAAACGCTCATACCATTTGTTATATTTAAACAAATGGTATGAGCGTAATTACCCCTAAACCTGAGCGATAATGCCTATATAGCCAGGGTTCAATGGATTTCCTACCTGTTTTTTGTTAAGTTGTCTGAAGAAAGCTAAAGAATTGTTTGCCTCTAACTTCATTGTGAACTGAATTTTTGAATTCATGAAGTTAAAATGGTCAAAAAATGCAGTTACTTTATCTTTAGATGCAATTATGTGCATCATCATTAATTTATTTTACATGGGGAAGTGCCTGCGCATACCTGCCTCACGGAGGTATGGACGGGTTATGTTGAACTCGCACCGACTAAAACCCCATGGTGTTTCATCTTCGTCGCATAGGCCACGGGAACTCTTTCGCTCACATCGCGGTCCCAAGGCAGCTCCTCCTCGGAAGGATTTCTCCACCCCCCTTTTCTTTAGAGGTAAGGTGTAGCAGGAACACAAGGCGCGCCTTTTTCCTCGGCTTCTAACTTCACCTGCGTAACGGACCCCCGAGTCCAAAACGCGGAGGACATGGGGCCAGGAAAAACGAGCACTCGGAAGCACAAAAATTTCGCAAATATTTTGACCTCGAAAGAAACATTGTAAATATTGCCAGTAAAATATTAAAACATGTGCAACAGTTTATATTTGTTATGAAATGCGAGTGATTTCCAACAGATTATTTAAAAAAAAACTTTATATTAAATTTAGAATTTAATTAAAAGCAAAAACAAATTGTTGAAGAAAAATAATTATAAAAGTAAAATATTTAGAATACGAAGTTTGTAAAAAAATATTATATTGAATAAAATTACATTTTTGGATTTTATCGCGTTTAATTATATTTATTTTTAAATTCCCGACGTTTCGGGTGCTTTCCAGCATGTATGGTCACGGGGGGACTGAGGTGATTGGCGTCCCGATGTTGGAGTTAACACGGAGTACCTTGAGCATTTTAATTATTAGTTTTGGTCCGATTCACGCACAATGAACTTACTGTTTTGAATTCTTGTAGTGGTATGCTTGGGCTTAGTATTAATTTTATTAATTACAGGATCCCAAGCAGGTGGTAGTACCCAACCCCACTCTCTATTGAAATTAGAATGTTTTTTTTTTTAATTTCAATAGCCTCACGTGTCATCCTTGGCAGGAAACGATGTTGTTTCGCGAGAATTTGTGGTCTAACAAATTTAATGTAATGGTGGTTGCCGTCTAGGATATGAGCACAAACTGCAGACTTCCCGGAACGTTGGTGTTTCACGTCAGCTATGTGTTATTTTACGCGAGTTTTAATATATTGTTTTGTTTGCCCTATATAAATTTAAAAAACACCCTCAAAATTATAATTAAAGGTGAAAATCCGTAAAAGTAATTTTATTCAATGATTAGTGTTCGCGTAAATATAAGAAATCATTATAAAATATGATATCTTAGGTATCTAATAAAAAGCTGATAAACGATTTGTTTATTTAATTTTATCCTCCTGTGCCAACCCTTCTAAAATCATATGCAAAAATTTTGACAGCTTCTTAGAAGCTTTGCCTCTGTACAGTTTCTTTACTCATGTATAACACATACTCCATAAACTCTCAGAAATGAGAGGTTGCCTGTGCCCAACAGTGGAACTTATATAGTCTGTAAACTTATTTTAAGCATATATTAATTTGACCTAGTATCACCTGCATCAATAATCGATATTTTTCATTCTTGTTTTACTTAACTTATAAATAAAAATCAAATCTTTTTTATAAAAACATATATTTCGAATAATATTTTATTTTATTAAAAGTACATAAGTATATTACATTTAAACTTTATAGTATCTACGCGCACTGCCGTCCCATTTTGTGGTTGTCAGCGTCTGTAAAAAACGTATGTCCCTACAGATAATGTAGACCCATATACTTAGAATATACTATCCTAAGTCTATGGGTAGACTTACATTTCATTAATTTTCCATAAAGCTATTAAAGGGTAAATAAAATCAATTGCCTATGGTATAATCGATACTCAATAAAGCTTGCTGGTTGCTAGTTGTTAAATCGTTACTAAGTCGCTGTCATGTTTCTGCTTAATATATCTGTGTAAATTGTTAATTTATTACTAACCGCGCAGTTTTTGTACGTGGTAGAGCCATGCTGCAGCTATATTAGTAGTATAGTTGTAGCACGAATGGGTCGGCTCGACCGGGGAAGGACCACGCTCTCACAGAATACCAGCGTCAAATAGCAGCTTAACACTGCTGTGTTTCGTATGGTGAGTGTAGAGAACCAGAGCTTTTTACTGGAAAATAGGCATTCCATCTTAGTCCTCACGGGTGACAACGCATCTGCATTTTGATTCAAATTTAATGATGGGCCACAGCAGCCACTTACCATCAGGTGGACTGTGTGCTCGTTTGTCACCCTATACTATATAAAAAAAAACCAAAAGATGTCGATATTGAGAGTTTTTGTGTTCAAAATCAAAATCAAAAATCATTGCCCATATTTGAATACCTGTGTGTTTGTATAAACAGTAGAATCTCTAGTATAATAATAGTAATCCATTCTGTATATGCATTGGAATGAATGTATGTAGGTCAGATATTCTTAAGGAATATTAAAAGTTATTTTAATATTATATTAAATAAATAAATGGATGTGATTTTTCCAAAAGCGATTTCACATCTATTATGGTCGAAAAAAGCCAGATATTTTTTTTTATCGCTTAGCCTCTGCGACATCACGGATCAAGTTGTTTTACGTGGTTTGTTACTAAGTACTACATCTAGAATACTCACCAAAATAAGCTTATCGTCGAAGTACTCCCTCTTTCTTGTTATAACGTTACCATCAGTGTGCTTCTGAACTTGGGTGAGAGTGTTGCCGTCAAAAGTAAATGTGGTTTTCGCCTGCAATCAAAAGCAACAAACGAGCAAATTGCAGATTAATTTTCAAAATTATGTAAAATTTGAATTTTTAATGAATATCATTTAATATTCAAAAATTTTATTTTTTATTTTATTATAGAATAAGAGTGACAAACGAGCACACAGTCCACCTGATGGTATGTGTATGTGGATGCTGTGGCCCATAGACATCTACATTTTGTCCTCGCTTCAGAATTAAAATGCATATGCGTTGTCAATCCTGAGGACTTTTTTATATAGGATAAAAGTAACAAGCGAGCACACAGTCTAACTGATTTTAAGTGGTTGATGTGGCCCATAGACATATATATCTATCGTCGTTTGCTAATCATAATGCAGATGAGTTGTCAGCCGTGAGGATTAAGATGGAACGCCTCTTTCCCAGTAAAAAGGGTCTCTGGTTCTCTACACTCACCATACGAAACATGGCAACATTAAGCTGCTATTTTACGCTGGTATTATGTGAGAGCGTGGTCCTCCCGGGTCGAGCCGAACCATTCGTGTTATAACTATACAATTAATATAGCTGCAGCATGACTCTACCACGTTGACTTAGATTGAATGCCTCGTTTTCAGTAAAAAGGTTCTCCGGGTCTCTACTCTCACCATGTCAAACACAGCAACATTAAGCTGCTATTTCAGTAATACCAGTTACTTTACCCACACAGTTTGTAATTAATTTATGGCTTTTACAACAAAATCCTAGAAAAATATTAATCATTCATTTATCGCCAAGATCAAATTATTTATGAAACAAAGAGTGCATAAAAAGACTTATATTGAGGAATACATGGACGACAATAAACCCTAAGGATAAGCTGATCACTAGTCATTATTAAGTTGATTTGTATGATTAATTATTGTAACATAATGGATTACTTAAAAAAATATTGTTCAAGTTCCGGAAATAAACGTTATTTCCGGTTCTTCCCGGCACAAAGGTATTTTGCAAATCGTACATACATACATACATACATAAACACTCACGCTTGTCACCCAGAGGGGTAGGCAGAGACAACGGACTTCCATTTCGCACGATCCTGACACACATCTTTCGCCTAATTTACATCCATATACCTACGCATTCGAGCTCGTCGGTTAAGGGTACTCTTAATCTGGATAATTTTCAATATATCACCAATATGGTCGATAAACTTTCGTCTAAGTAGTCTTTTCCCGACTCTGCCGTTCACATCTGCATGATAGATTTGCTTTGTCACTCTTTCTTCTTTCATTCTTTCTACATCACCAAACCACCGAAGCATTCCTTTCTTAATCATCTTGCAAACCATACTTTTTTCTTATCACACAATTTCTCACCCGGTCATTCAGATTCAACCTAACTTACTCCTTAATGACCGCGTTTCTACAGCATTTATTCTTTTCTCGTGCTTCTTCTGCCACAGCCAACTTTCACTACCATACATTAAAGTTGGGACTAATACAGCATTTTGAAATGCCATATGTGCCTTTTTTGACACATTCCGACCTTCCACAATAGTGTGTAGAACCCCATTTACTATATTTCCTGCGTTCACTTGTTGTTCTATATCCTTATCATATCTACCATCCCTGCTAAATACACAACCCAAATACACAAACACATCCACGTACTCAACCAACTCTCCTTCTATTCCTATTTATTTATTTATTTATTTATTTATGCTTTATTTGCACACCAAGTACAAAAAGGCGGACTTAATGCAACAGGGCATTCTCTACCAGTCTACCTCCAGGCTAAGCAGAGAAAATATTGTGGGTGCAAAGTGCAAACAGCTAAGTAAATAACATCTATGTCTACATAATACATACAGTATATATACATATATATATATATATATATATATATATATATATATATATATATATATACATAAATATATATAAATACTTACATACAAATATTTACTTACTACTACTTATTATACACATACTACTTATTATACATATATATACATAATTAAATATGGCAGTTTCTGATTCAAACTCCAATAACAAATGTAAAAATGAAATGGAAAACCACAAACTACTCCTGCAACGTTAGATAGTAGTTCCAGAGCAAGCGTTTGAACGATGCCTTGCTCGTGGCTGCGCGTACACTGCCCGGTAACTCGTTCCATAATCTTACCGCATGAGAAGTAAAAGATTTGTGTAAAAGAGCTAGTGTGACAGAGGGGAACATGGAGGTTAGATTTTTCCGTAGAACGGAGACAACGATTATGGGTATCACCTTGATACTGAAATTTGCATTTCAGATATTCAGGGACAAACGGATCGTGTAAAACTGAAAATAACGTGCACAGTATTCTGAAATGTCTGCGATAGCGTTTCACCTATCGTTTCGCTTTACTTGCGTTCAATTTCATTCCACTTTCTTTTAATGACCTGTTCATTAAAGTAACCATCAATTATTGTAATTTGGCCGCCGACGACGCAAATATGACTTGATCATCGACGTACAAAAGTAATTTGACTGTTAACTTCCCAAATCTTGACTCACATTCTTCATTTCCCGAATCAAAGGTAAATTAAGTTTAAAATGACTTTAAATTACTTTTCCTCTTGGGAAGCTTACAGCCACACAAATGTGTTACTTGGTAGTAAGTAGAAATACAAAAAGAACTATAAAAAGTTGCCACAAATTATCAGTCAATTAAACTAAAATATAATGAAATATGGTAAACTTACAACTCCTCCACCTGTAACTTCTTCATCAAATTCTACTCCATCCTTAAAGTTGAGAACTTTAATCTGATCAGGCATAATAGTGGTCAAAGTGTATGAATCGCCGTTCTTCTCTAGTTTTTGTTCAGGCTTGGAGCTCGTTAAGGCTGCAATTACGTCGGCAGGAACATCTAAAAAAGGAATTAATCTATGGTTTTAATATCTAATTTTTTTCATGTTATACATATATGTCTCTTTCATTGATATATATTCTTTGAGCATCGTGTGCGTGCGTGTTTCAATATTTTCATTTTTAATTATTTTCTTCTTAATTTTTGCTGCTCAAGCTGCGCTTGTCCCTACTTTCCTAATAAAAATATCTTTTAATGATAAATTTAGTATAAACTGACTTTAAAATAGATTGGCAATGCAGTGGAGAAAGAGTATAGTGTACGCGTATATTAATGCGAGAAAGATATGCGAGACCATTCGCGTACACGCCATCGACTGTATCGACCTGGCGTCGAGTTAGACGCCAGAGAGCTAGACACAAATAAAGAGAATAAAAGGTCGACTTTCTCATCTCAAAAGTGGTGATTGACAGAAAGACCTTAGACAGCCTCGCGAAGGTAGGCATACTAGTTTCTCGCGAATTCAGCCGATGTGCTTTGACTTTTCCTAAACTAAAACAGAATTATACTTATTATGAACGCCATTATTTTCATCTCGGGTCGCAAATCGATGACATTTTTAGCAATGACGAAGTCAGAAAATCAGTGTCGTCAGTAAGTGAAGTCAGTGAAATTCAGATTCTCTAGAATGTTTCTAGGCGTGTAAATATCCTTTTTCTAGCTCCCTTACTCTTTAATCGAAAATAAAACAGTGGACACTGTGAACGCTGCTGATGTGGCAGATGATAAGAGGATAGATAAGATAATGGCTGAGACTTCTAAGTCGATCCTTGGCTCAATGGGAAATTTATTGAATTATTTAATATGTAATATTTTTGAAAAGAATAATGTATTAATTTTACAAAATTGACTAGCGTTATATTTTTTATTTCTTTTTTCCTGACTGCCATAAAAATAATTAAATTATATTAAATTTGTAGTTCACAATAATATTTAAATTTATAGTGCTCTAATAGAGTTTAATTTGCTTAACTTTGTTATTAAATAACTAGTATATTTACCCATGCTTTTGAGGAAAGCTTCAAAGTTCTCATCCTTGTCATGTTTATACAGCTTTCCCAGGTACGCCATTTTGTAACTTTCTTTCTTCTGACACGATCACTTCACACGCAGAGTAAATAATGAATAATTAGATTTGTCAATAACCGGTATTTATAAAGGTTATTACATTACCTACACGACGGTGGTTATAAATGCCGGTTATCGATGCATTAATGATACCCGAAATTCAAAACCCTTGTATTTTGTCTTATCTTTACTATATTTAAGGTGCATTAACAACCGAGGATCAACTTTATAACGCTTTTTTATGATTTAATACTAGTATTTACAAAAGGTCATAACTCACCGTTACTTGATATAATACATGATTTAATTTAAGAAAACAAAATAAATTACAATTTATAATTATCCTTCATAGTACGCAGATACTTAATATATAAAATCGCACCACTTTAACATGTCACAATCCACTTCAAACCATTATTTAAACAATAATTCACGAGTTGCATACCGCCGCCGGCCAAGTTTCCGCCAAAACTCCTACCATGCACTGACCTGCATGCATGTTACTGATTCCTTAAAGTACTACATTAATCTATGTAAACAATGTTCAGCCGTGGGCTATTAAGAAAAAAGGAATAATTGAATATAGGGCTGTCATTCGTATCGTATAATATTTTTTGTTGTTATCATTTTATGTTGATGACGAATTAATAATTATTCGAAATTGAAAGAAATTACTGGTGTTATGTTAATATATATTACTGAAGTGATAAACGAAATTACATGCCACCTGTTGGTAAATGGCTACTGCAGTTCATAGACACCTGCAGCCAACTCCCTACAAAGAAAGCTATAGATGTGTTATGACCTCTGAGAATTAAGATAAAATGCCTCACAGCCTGTTAATTTACAAATGCATTAGTACTCCTGATCCTGACTAATTTCCCAACACCTGTAGTGTTATACTACTTACGTATCTTTTTACATTATTTTAAATTCATTTTTCCATTCTGTTTCGATTTTCTGCATTCACCTCAAAACTGGATATTTTACATCACCTTTATTTCCATAGGATCCTGTAACGATTTTAAACCATAAGAACACAATAACAAATCATTTCTACTTCGTATTTTCACATTATCAGCACTTTTAAATTGGTGTCAATGGAGTCTACCTTTTTTCGATCTTTTAGCTAGTTTTCCGTAACTCTACAATCTTGGACTTTGTGTGGGCAGTTGCGCTACCTTTTTTCCTATATCAATAATATCTCATTTTCCACTTAAATCTTACCGTTTTCTTATTATAAACCAAAAACAAAAATTTGACATATTTTGTCTTTCTTATTTATATCGTTTCCACGGTAATTATATTCAAATTTGCTACCGATCTATTATTCCTATTTCGATAATTCCACATAAATCCTCTTTTCTCTTGACCATTTACAAAAAATTTGCGTATAATTTAAATAATTTTTCCGTTCTCTCTAGAAAGGTATAAAAGCCGAACAATCGGTGAAGAAAGGCAGTCTCGCTTCAGTTCGCGAATTGGAAGTATTTCCTAAAGGCCTTATCCCGGGGCCGCACTGCCCCGGGATCCTGCAAGCCTCCATTTACACGTGAAGTCTTCGGCGAAGCCTTCTTCAAACTCGGGCCGCGCCACTCCGGAATCCTACAAGTCTCCATCTACCTCGGAAGTCGCTTCGAGTCTACTACAAGCGCGGGGGCCACACTACTCCGGGCACTACTACTACTTACTCCAGGCGCCGAGTGCACCTACCGTCGGCGCTACCTTTGGGCGCTGCAACTGCTGGCCCTAAGCGTTGCGCGCCCCTTCTCCAGGCGCTACGTGCGCCGGCTCCGGACGCTGCGTGTACTGGCTCCAGGCGCTGCGCGCCGTCGCTGCTAAGAAACCTACTTCTACAAGCGCAAACGGCGTGTGCTGGCTTCAGGCGCTGCGTGCCGTCGCTACTAAGAAACCTACTTCTACAAGCGCAACGTGTGTCGCTTCGACTTTTAGGCCCCACTTCAACGCTATATTCCCCTATTCTCTCACCTTTATTTTTTTTATAATCTAATTGTATTCTCACTTCATCCATCATCATCCTCACATCATTTTTTTTATAAAATTGTAAATACCTTTTATAAATTTAAATATATTGTTTTTTTGGCTCTACTTTTGTTGTTTTGTTGTACTTAGGTTAGGTTCTATTTTTTTTTTAATTGTCGCTTCACGACATTTGGCGCCCAACGTAAAAGTCCTCTTTCTCTCTTAATTCTTCACCTTTACTGCGCCTTGTCCATTCCCTTTTGATTTAATTGCTCTCCCTTTCGTTCTTAACTCATTATTCATCATTCATTTATTCATCCTTTTCATACTTTCCAAATTCTAAAACAACACTTCATCTAGTGTTTCAACTTATCTAGACTATATTTAGACCTACATTCAACACTTCACTTACATTCATCACTCTAATATTTTTATTCTAGGTAACTTAAAGAGGTATAACTTTTCAATTAAATCTTTATTTCTTAAACTTAACTTTGAACTTTACACTTTATATATGAACTTTACACTTTATATAAAATTGTTTTTCAAAGCTGAAGCGAGACAATTCATAACTTTTCTAAGCATTTACAACTGTTAATTTGTATATATGTATAAATATCTAAACATTTATTAACTGCTAATTTGTATATATGTATAAATATCACATTTAATTTGTATATATGTATAAATATCACCATCATTTTCACCTTGTTATTATTTCTTTTAATTTGTTTGTTTGTTTGGTAGGTTAATCTTCACTTCTTATTATTTCAGACACATCTCGCTAGTGATGTTGCTGATCTCTGGCTTTGAGCCCTACCGCTCTGGCCGTTCTTTATCTTTACTTAAGTCATAGCGACTAAAGCTTGCTTAAGATTGATTTCTTTATCTTTATCTTCACTTGGGAGCGGCTGACTACTCCCTTAATAATTTTTTTATCTTCACGCAGGAGCGGATGACAACTCCTTAAATAAGCCTGAATGTCCTTTCGAAAACACACTTTTAAGAGTGGTGTTTCTTCGACTAATTTATTTTTTTTTCCACGCAGGAGCGGATGACTACTCCTTAAATAAGCCTTAATGTCGTTTCGAAAACACACTTTTAGAGTGGTAGTCATTGAATGTGAACTCCACCCTTACCTGAATGGCAGATGATGTATGTAAGAGATGGTATATTTGATTTTGCCTGGTGATGTCTGTTTCTGCAAAGCTGTGTTTTTATGGTTTATTTTAGAATGTATATATCAAAATTTTTGCTGAGTCAAAAATTTTCCAGGGTCGGGGGGAAAATGTAGTGTTATACTACTTACGTATCTTTTTACATTATTTTAAATTCATTTTTCCATTCTGTTTCGATTTTCTGCATTCACCTCAAAACTGGATATTTTACATCACCTTTATTTCCATAGGATCCTATAACGATTTTAAACCATAAGAACACAATAACAAATCATTTCTACTTCGTATTTTCACATTATCAGCACTTTTAAATTGGTGTCAATGGAGTCTACCTTTTTTCGATCTTTTAGCTAGTTTTCCGTAACTCTACAATCTTGGACTTTGTGTGGGCAGTTGCGCTACCTTTTTTCCTATATCAATAATATCTCATTTTCCACTTAAATCTTACCGTTTTCTTATTATAAACCAAAAACAAAAATTTGACATATTTTGTCTTTCTTATTTATATCGTTTCCACGGTAATTATATTCAAATTTGCTACCGATCTATTATTCCTATTTCGATAATTCCACATAAATCCTCTTTTCTCTTGACCATTTACAAAAAATTTGCGTATAATTTAAATAATTTTTCCGTTCTCTCTAGAAAGGTATAAAAGCCGAACAATCGGTGAAGAAAGGCAGTCTCGCTTCAGTTCGCGAATTGGAAGTATCTCCTAAAGGCCTTATCCCGGGGCCGCACTGCCCCGGGATCCTGCAAGCCTCCATTTACACGTGAAGTCTTCGGCGAAGCCTTCTTCAAACTCGGGCCGCGCCACTCCGGAATCCTACAAGCCTCCATCTACCTCGGAAGTCGCTTCGAGTCTACTACAAGCGCGGGGGCCACACTACTCCGGGCACTACTACTACTTACTCCAGGCGCCGAGTGCACCTACCGTCGGCGCTACCTTTGGGCGCTGCAACTGCTGGCCCTAAGCGTTGCGCGCCCCTTCTCCAGGCGCTACGTGCGCCGGCTCCGGACGCTGCGTGTACTGGCTCCAGGCGCTGCGCGCCGTCGCTGCTAAGAAACCTACTTCTACAAGCGCAAACGGCGTGTGCTGGCTTCAGGCGCTGCGTGCCGTCGCTACTAAGAAACCTACTTCTACAAGCGCAACGTGTGTCGCTTCGACTTTTAGGCCCCACTTCAACGCTATATTCCCCTATTCTCTCACCTTTATTTTTTTTTATAATCTAATTGTATTCTCACTTCATCCATCATCATCCTCACATCATTTTTTTTATAAAATTGTAAATACCTTTTATAAATTTAAATATATTGTTTTTCTGGCTCTACTTTTGTTGTTTTGTTGTACTTAGGTTAGGTTCTATTTTTTTTTAATTGTCGCTTCACGACACACCTCATTTCAAATCGGAGGCTTTTTAAAGTTTTTTTTTATCTATAGTAATGGATATGTATACTCAATTACAATGTCACTAGCTCACTCACAATACTGTCGTGAGTGGTAAGAGGCGAAAGGAGCAAGGAGGCGAAAGAGGGCAGTAGCTTTATCCTTAAAACAACTCAATCACAATGAAATAACTGCAGTTGGTTGCAAATATCCCCTCTGTGAAGCGATTTTTGGGGGAGGGCTATGATCAGTAGTGGACTTTTGATAATCTGTTTTGAATGACTCATTCTAATCTACCTGTATCCGATATAATGTTTATGGTGTGCTAGGGTGCAGAAATGTACTAATAGAAAATGGCGAACACAGTGTTTTAATATCAAGATGAAATCCAAACCTAGTATCAGTTTTATGCAAACGAGTAAACGTTTCACTAATTTCACACACAATACGATCCA